CGTCAGTACCGAACCGAAGACGTTGATCCGAACGGATCACGGATCAGTGATGAACCGTTGCACCTCTATTTAAAAAGATACGTCTGTAAAAAATGACTGACTGCATCTTTAATGCTTAGCGTACATTGGACCGGCAACTGATCATATCCGTCGCATATGAGTTGCTGCCCCGCACACATCGACAATCTGGCAAAAACGGGCAACTCCTGTATCAGACCAGTCTGGGGAATAACAGCGCGTACATCGACAGCAACTGGCCTCAACTACAGTGTGTTTTCTGACATAAACTGTAGAGGGCGCAATACACACAATACACACATGTTGTTGGAGCGCGCACATCAGGTGATATCTCTGGATCTGAGGACGACTAGTTGCAGAAAAGTAGAACACGGGCAACTGACTGAATATGGAGATTGACTGTTTATCTCCAGTTGTAAGAGCGCTCACATCGACCGATTTCGACATCTCCATCATCTGCTCTCAGTCGCCAAAAGCCGCCTTGAAACTAGTCTCCAGTTACTCTGTCCATGTACGCTAGGCTTAAGGAAACAGTACGGGAACAGAGTTTTTCAAACCATCTTTGGGTCCTAGTGTTTCACTTTTTTCTCCTCAGTAAACACTTGAGCTGTAACGATAGCCTTAATAGTAGTAAGTAAGTAATGTTTATTTTATATAGCGCATTTTACAGACCAAGGTCACCCACAGGGCTCACTGACTGATGAACAGGACCGAGGTCTTAAGGTGGACTCTGGAGCTGAGGTCACGTCACGCAGCAGTCTCTGCTGGGGCTGGGCGATGTGGCTGAAAACTATATCACAATATAAGTGATTCATAACGGTCAATACCTATAATTATTCTTTCTTTTTTTCTTCTAATAAATACATTTGTCGTGTCTGCTAACATGTTAGCAGCACATATTTACAGTCACGGGGGAATGAGAACTGGAAGCATATGTTCACAAGCACAGTGTCCCCCATTGTCCGTCCTGGTTTAGCTCCTATTTTGGCCGAGTGTTTTCAGAGTCTGTCTGTGCGCTTGTGTCTCAGTGACTGCTCCGTGCGGCTCTCTGATAGCCACACGTGCTTTCAGAGGAAAAAGTTAATCTCTTGCTTTGGCCGCATGTATCGGGACGTTGTGCCCACTGCCTCTCCTGCGCCGCACATGCTATTCCTCACACAGGCGGGCATAACCATTGACACGGCATCAAAACACAATCTATTGATCCATGGACGCTTGTTGATTGTGGGTTTTTTTTGTTTTGTGTGTGCATTTCCCAGAATGCCTTGCATTTGCTCATGCTCGGCTGTGATAGGTCAAAAAGCCTGCCTACGCCCCCCAGAATGCTGCGCGTGTCTGACTGCTTTACTTACGGTTTTTACTTCCTGTTTGTTCTAACGGAGTGAAGTTAAACTATCGAACATTCAACTGACCCCATTTTCCATTAATATTGAACACGTGTCTATCGTGATATGTACAGTATCGTTATTGTTTTATCGCCCAGCTCTACTCTCTGCATCGGTTTGGTTTCATGTGAAGCGGTTTCATTGGTTTCATATTAATCGGTTTCTGTTTGGCCCTAGTAGTAGTACTAGAATGTAATATGCTGCTATCCAGAATATATAACTACAATATGTGTTTGTAATATCCATAAATGCTAACACCTATTAACGGTTTAATTAGCATTTTTATCAATGATTGCTTCACATGTAGTTATCATGTTAGCTCTTGTGTCTATGTTTTCAACTTCTGCAGCTTTTTGTTCATAAAGTAAATATTTATTTAATTCAAGTTATTTTGATTAGCATTTATGGATATTACAATGTACATTGTGGTAAATAAATCTAAGGCAAAGTGAGACTGGCATAATGTAAAAACGAATATTAGCCTTGTTAGCATGTTTTATGATATCAAGTAGAGTTAGCTAACTTGCCCAACACTAATTAGCTTGAATCTCACAAATAAGGCTAAAAGGTTAAAAGAGTTACGCACTATTATGTACAAAGCTGATGACAATATGTTTATACCTTGTTCAGATGACAGTGAAATAGGGCTGGGCGATAAAACGATAACGATATATATCGCGATAGACATGTGTTCGATATCAATAGAGAATGGGGTCGATAGAATGTTCGATAGTTTAACTTAACTCCGTCAGGAAAAACAGGAAGAAAACACCGGAAGTAAAGCCGACTCATAAGCGCATGGCATTGTGGGGGATGTAGGCGGAGGCTTCTTGACCAATAACAGCCGAGCAGGAACCGCAAAACTTTGTGGGAAATGCAAAAACAACAACAACCGCAGCATGCGTAGCGTCCATGGATCTATAGCTCGTGTTTCAATGCCGTGTCAATGGTTATGCACGTACGTGCGCGGAATAACATGTGCGGCGGCAGAGGCAGTGGACAGACCCGATGTATTCGGCGAAAGCAAGAGATTAACTTTTTCCTCGGGAAGCATGTGCGGCACAGAGAGCCGCACGGAGCGGCCACGGGGACACAAGACCCTCAACCAGCTAAACCAGGAGCTAAACCAGGAATAAAAACCAGGATTAAACCAGGACTAACAACGAGGGACACAGTGTGAACATATTTCTCCAGCCTCATCGCCCCGTGACTGTAAACAAGGCTGCTAAGGTTGGTTAGCCCACACGACAAATATATTTATTTAGGTTAAAAAAAAAAACTCAATATATATCGTTATCGACCGATATGAATGACTTATATCGTGATATAGTTTTCAGCCATATCGCCCAGCCCTACAGTGAAACCTCCTACAGATTCAGCCCAGACTGCTGCTGCTGCTGTGAGAGGTCATTCTCCTACGTCATCGCCGCCATTTTGGCGCCCCCTAGTGTTTCTATGCGGAGGTGAAAAAGTGCAATTTCAAAGCCGTTTTTTTAACATAATTAATCTGAACATGTCAAAATGAACACCCAAAATATTATAAACACATATTGTACTTATAGATTCTGGATAGCAGCATATTACATTCTAGTACGACTTTAAGCTACACTTCTTACACTTTTTAACTTTGAATTGATCTGTTGTCTGAAGCTTGTGAGTGTTAAGTGGAAATGAAATGGATCAGACTGAAGTGCAGCCTTACATCACATTAATGACAACTGTTTTTTTACTCAAACAAATAAAATATATATAATATTTATCCGCGGGTGGTCATCCTGTAGTAGTCGTCCACTACCCGAGGCCAGTGAGGGTTCTGCGCAGTATCTTTGCTGTTCCTAGTACTGCACATTTCTGTGCAAATATTTCCATTGGGGTGGGAACCTAAGGGTACCTCACGATACGATACACGATACAAAGCTCACGATAACGATATAACGATAACAATTTTATCACGATATGACGATTATTGATATATTGGTCAGAAATATACAATATGCCAATTTATGGCATAAATAAAAGAGAAAATACTCTTTATTTCATGGTTAATAGAATGGAGATGCGTAATGTAGCCATATATTAAGTATTGATACCGATTTTATAAAATCGATATCGATACTTGGCAAATGCATATCGATAATCGAATCGCGGGAGAAAGTATCGCGATATATCAAGAAATCCATATATCGTCACACCCCTAATTTCCATTGATCGTGGGATCTGCCGTTGAGGGTCTCTGCACTGAGTGCACAAGCACCACAGGCACTGTCACTTACCTTATATTTATTTATCTCTCTATAACTCTACCTTATACATTCATGCACAAACACACACGATGCTCTGATTCAAAGACTAAAACTGCCTCGAGACCCTGTGATCTTTGCACAAAGATATTCTCCTTTTGAAGATGATTATATCAACTCTTTTGTACGAAACGCTGCATATCCCGAATTTACATCAAGCGCCTGCGACACTGGTCCAAGAACAGCTTTTTGACACTTACACCAGCAGCAAAATATGCATTAAAGGAGCTATACCCGTTTCTGCAAGGTTTGAATGTTTAGCGCCGCCCCCAATGAGGCTTCTCATTTCCACTGCGCTCTCATCCCATGGAGCCATCTAGTTGTATTTGCGATCTGATGCTAACATTAGCATTAGCGCAACTTAAGCTGTACAACAATCACTGATGAAATGGTACAAAAGCAACGCACTGCTAACAAAATATAAAACTGAAAGATTACCGTTAGTTTTGCGTTCGAATGTGGTCCGGGCATAGGTAGTCCGAGGCGGTCCCGCAGGTCTCTCCCATAGACAAGTCTCTCCAGAGGATACAATATAAGCTAGCTATGTTCACCCGGGCTTGGTTTCTTCTTTGATCATTTTTGGCTTTAGTTCCCTCTTCTCTTCCTCACTGTTGTGTGGTTTGGGCTGTTTTGCTGTGTCTGCAGTTACAGCCAGAGGAGTTATAGCCACTTATACTAACATGCTACTGTTTTTATCAGCACTGTAGAGGCTAGAGGACGCAGCCTCGTTCTGTGATTGGAGGAGAGCGTCACGCTAAAGTCTCTATTCAGCACTTTTTACGGCCTGAATTTATACACAGCTGAATCAATGAGCTCAAGTTTTCAATTAATTACGGATTATAATACAACTTGTATGTAGTAATTAGCATTTTTATGAACTACTAAAAAAAAAGAATTGGGTATAGCATCTTTAACAGGTGTAATTATGTTGCGTGCTGTGAGAAACACGCTGGAGTTCTATTTACTTCATCAAGGCGTCATATCCTGCGGGCAGCGGGCGCAGAATGAGGCCTCTGGTGTCAATTGAACGCGTTCTTATTTACACACATCTGTTGCAGCGTCGCTTGGTGTAACTTGGGGCAGATTTGGCTTGTTGGATTTGTCTCGCCGTGGTGGGTGTGGCTCTTGGCCACACTCTTCAGATGTTTGTGAGTTGACCTGATGCTCTGGCTCCATGTGCGCCCCTAGAAGCCCGGGTCTCCCTTCAGATGTAATCCTTTCACTAACAACTATTTTGCTGCGTGACGAACCAGAAAAGAAAACATGACAGTGATGTAAACCGTTTGTTTGTCCTCAGATGTCCTCATTCAGACGGCGGAAAGCACACCGATGTCGTCAGTCAAACTGGAAGACCAACCTGGACCAATAGACCGGCTTGGACCGGAAGACCGACCTGGACCGGAAGACCGACCTGGACCGGAAGACCGACCTGGACCGGAAGCCCGGCCTGGACCGGAAGACCGACCTGGACCGGAAGACCGACCTGGACCGGAAGCCCGGCCTGGACCGGAAGACCGACCTGGACCGGAAGCCCGGCCTGGACCGGAAGACCGACCTGGACCGGAAGACCGGCCTGGACCGGAAGCCCGACCTGGACCGGAAGACCGGCGGCCTGGACCGGAAGACCGACCTGGACCGGAAACCCGGCCGGTAGCCCGGCCTGGACCGGTAGCCCGGCCTGGACCGGTAGCCCGGCCTGGACCGGTAGCCCGGCCTGGACCGGTAGCCCGGCCTGGACCGGTAGCCCGGCCTGGACCGGTAGCCCGGCCTGGACCGGTAGCCCGGCCTGGACCGGTAGCCAGGCCTGGACCGGTAGCCAGGCCTGGACCGGAAGCCAGGCCTACACCGGAAGCCAGGCCTACACCGGTAGCCAGGCCTACACCGGTAGCCAGGCCTGGACCGGAAGCCAGGCCTACACCGGAAGCCAGGCCTGTGGAAGCCAGGCCTGTGGAAGCCAGGCCTGTGGAAGCCAGGCCTGGACCGGAAGCCCGGCCTGGACCGGAAGCCAGGCCTGGACCGGTAGCCAGGCCTGGACCGGTAGCCCGGCCTGGACCGGAAGCCAGGCCTACACCGGTAGCCAGGCCTGGACCGGTAGCCAGGCCTGGACCGGTAGCCAGGCCTGGACCGGAAGCCAGGCCTACACCGGAAGCCAGGCCTACACCGGAAGCCAGGCCTACACCGGAAGCCAGGCCTGTGGAAGCCAGGCCTGGACCGGAAGCCCGGCCTGGACCGGTAGCCCGGCCTGGACCGGAAGCCCGGCCTGGACCGGAAGCCCGGCCTGGACCGGAAGCCCGGCCTGGACCGGAAGCCAGGCCTGGACCGGAAGCCAGGCCTGGACCGGTAGCCCGGCCTGGACCGACCCTTGAGTTCACCACAGTCATCGTGAAAAGTGAAAGTGACGAAACTGAAATAGAGTTGGCCGACAAAGCACAAGTTCAGACTGCAGAGGCGAGCCACGCGGCAGACAACCTCCGGAACACAGACGCTGACAAGCTCGTGCCGGTCACAGAGCGCCTCATCCAGGACGTAGCATCTGCCCCCAACGAGTGCGTAGAGGAGAGGCCGAGCGAGATCGAGGTCCTGGTTCCAGAAACTGAAAACGATCAAATGCCGGAGAAACCCGGGAAAACCCTCACGCACAAACGAAAGCGTAAGTCGAGTTTACCCCAACCCGCGGAGTTCAGCGCGAGCCAAGAGATTTCACCAAAACTGAGAACAACGCTGGATAAGGAGAATGAGGGAGAGAAGGAAGCAGTGGTGGAGAAAGGTAACAGCAAGGCAGAAAGGTGGAAAGAACTAGGTACTTCAAGGGAGTTGAGATCTGAGAGCGGCGCGAGGGAGCAGAGATCTGAGAGCACAAAGAAAAAGGCTGTAGCAAAAGGAAGAAAGCCGAGCGCAGAAGGCCGTGCGAAGAAGACTGTTCAGAGCAAAGAAAAAAAGCAAAGTGCACAGGACCGCACAAAACTGCGTAAAGCAGAGAGCAGCGGTAAGAAGACCGCAGTGAAAGGCGCCGCGGTGAAGCCAGCTGGAGGCCGCAGCCCAAAGAAAAGGACCGGAGAGGACGCTGCGGAGAAGCAAAGAGCTGAGCAAACAAAACCGCTTGAACCAGTGGGACGCGTCAAGAAGCAAACTGCGGAGGAGAGTCCGAAGAAGAGACGAGTCGAGGGCAGTGAGAAGAAGACTGCGGAAAGCAAAGGGAAGAAGAGACGAGTCGAGGGCAGTGAGAAGAAGACTGCGGAAAGCAAAGGGAAGAAGAGACGAGTCGAGGGCATTGAGAAGAAGAAACGAGCAGAGATCAGTCCAAGCGCACACAAGTCCCTCACCAGTCCAACGGCGCCCAAGTCTCTGAGCAGTCCAATTGCGTGCAAGAAGTCTCTGAGCAGTCCAACTGCGTCCAAGAAGTCTCTCAGCAGTCCAACTGTGCGCAGGAAGTCTCTCAGCAGTCCAACTGTGTCCAAGAAGTCTCTGAGCAGTCCAACTGTGTCCAAGAAGTCTCTGAGCAGTCCAACTGTGTCCAAGAAGTCTCTGAGCAGTCCAACTGTGTCCAAGAAGTCTCTGAGCAGTCCAACTGTGTCCAAGAAGTCTCTGAGCAGTCCAACTGTGTCCAAGAAGTCTCTGAGCAGTCCAACTGTGTCCAAGAAGTCTCTGAGCAGTCCAACTGTGTCCAAGAAGTCTCTGAGCAGTCCAACTGTGTCCAAGAAGTCTCTGAGCAGTCCAACTGTGTCCAAGAAGTCTCTCAGCAGTCCAACTGTGCGCAAGAAGTCTCTCAGCGTGCGCAAATCATTGACCTCTCCAAAGGACGGTAAACCTCTGCGCAGTCCAAAGACGTGTAAAGCCAAGACCCAGGCGAGGAGCTCCCCATGTCAGACCCAGATCACTCCTGCGTCGCCTCAAGCGAAATGTCCCAAACCCAAGCGCACGTGGATGCGAAAGTCCCTGCAGACGATAGTGAAGCGCGTAAAGAACGGCGAAACGGAGTTTGAGTGTTCTTATTGTAACAAAACATTTGGGCGCCTGCATCACGTGGAGCGCCACATCCTGATCCACACCGGAGAGAGACCCTTCAGCTGTTCGCTTTGTCCGAAGAGCTTCCAGCTGAAAGCGCACCTGATGCTGCACATGATCACGCACACGGACGAGAAGCTCTTCAGCTGCTCCCTCTGCGGCAAGAGGTTCAAGCGCAAAGACTACCTGACGCTGCACGTTAAGAACCACTCCGGCGTGCGCCCCTTCGGCTGCTCGCAGTGCGACGTGCGCTTCGCCCTGAAGCGGAACCTGCAGCGTCACATGATCGTGCACGAGCGCGACGTCACCTACACCTGCCCCGTGTGCGCCATGACCTTCTCCTCGCCGTTTTACTTCCGCAAACACAAGAAGAGCCACAAGAAAGGCAAAGCCAAACGTTAGCGCTGTTTAACAGACTGTAAATGCATGTTTCATTTTTAGTACGTTGCCAACAACGCTTTTTTCTTTTTTAAACCAGACCCGGTCTTGAAATATGGGGACGTGGCACAATCGGAGTAAGTGTCATCTAAAGTGTTTGCATTAAAGACATTGAAGAGGCTCTCTCATCACTTCTAGAATGCTACAGGACTAAGTTTATTCGTGTTGCACAATTCAAAGTGCTGAACAAAAGAAAAACGACAAAATACATTAGAAACAGTGTTGATAGAATCCTTCATTTGTAGCTCAGATAAACAAAACTGTTTTAACCTGGATTTAAACATTGTCAGAGAAGAAGTCTGTCTCACAGTTTCAGGAAGCTCTGGCTCCATGTTTTGAAAACGTCTGTTTTAAACTCAGTGGAAGTCTGTTCACATTGAGGCCGAATGTAATGTACACATCTACATCTGGACCAGCTGAGACAAGTGGCCCTGTGACAGTGGGAGGAGCCTCTGACTGTGGGAGGAGCCTCAGACTGCAAGTGGGAGGGGCCTCTGACTGTGTGGGAGGGGTCTCTGACTGTGGGAGGAGCCTCAGACAGAGTGGGAGGAGTCTTAGTGGGAGGGGCCTCCTGTCTGAATGTAAAATGCCTCATGATTGTGTGAAACTTTAAAATAACTAAATTAATTATATATATATTAAATCTTGTGTTCCTATTTAAAGCTTTACAGCTCTACAGTAGATGGTCACGAACAGAAACAGATGGGCAATGCTAACACGCTAACACACTAGCTCAATGAAGTGCTCATGGACCCACTTTTACTCCCACTAAACTCTTCTAACTCAGTAACTGTCACACATTTTGGGCCTAGCCCCAGTGCTTCCCTCGGGTCAAACTAACTCGCCAGTGATTTAAAAAAATACTGTCAAATGTTTATTTGAGCTGGTTTTCCTAATCTGACCCTTCCCCGGGCTACTTTTAATCTGTGGTCGTTTTGACCCGAGCAAAGCACAAGGGTTAAAGAAAATCAGTGGTTTATCTCTCTCTGTGATCCTGGTGTTTTTATTTACTATTGTCTTTGGTCGATCCTCACTGTATTTACAATCAGAGGCTGTTGCACAGCTCTATGGTGATGTCACACTCCGTCAGTTCGTTCTATGGTCGTGATGTTTGATACGAGGAGCGTTTGTGTATTTACTTTTTACTGCTTCTTTCTTTTAGGATTTAATTTTAATGTTTGAATGAATTGTTGCGTCTTCAAAGCAACAAACCAAACGTTTGCTTTTTAGATAATGTTTTAGATGGAAACCGATGAAATCTTTTGTTTTTTCACAAAAGCAAAATAAATGGACTTTTCTCCCAAACTGTTTCTTTCTGACTTGTTTTAGGAACTCGGGGGTGATAGAGTGAGCCCTCTCAAGAACCTATTAGAGGAAAGGGAGCTATGAGCCAAGAGCCAGCAGAAGCTCCCTAGCAACCGTTGCTATGACCAAACCGTTGACACACAAAGAAAAAGCTACATGTTTCTCATGTTTAGAAACTTAACTCAACATCCTGCTTTAAAACAGACCTTTAAAGTCCCTTTACATTGTTGCTATAGCAACCGTCAGGAGGAAAGACATGGAACTTGTCAATTAAAGATGCAGTTAGCGATGTTGTTAGCTTAGCCGTAGCACCAACTGGAAACCCCTCCCCTCCCTCTCCACCAAACCAAACATCCAGCATTTTCTTTTCTTTGTCACAGGGAGAGTGAAGCAAACGTGAAATTGGCATTTTCTATTCAGCCCTTGTAAGTTTTAGAAAATAATCCGATAACTCGGGTGCACTCGTGAGAAACAGGAAGAGGGTGAAGGGTAAACACATCCCATTGGTTTATTTTTTTTTTTTTTATCTGCCTGCTCCAAAATATGTTCTATTGATTTTTGGAGACTATAGACGTCTGGTCAATTCCATTACTATTTGAAAACCCAATAACTTGATACTTTTAGGGTTTAGGGACAATTTCCCACAATATTTAATTAGATGCGTTTGGAAAAAATCACTGACTGCATCTTTAAGGCAGTAATAACAGTCTGGGTTGGAGCCGTCACTGACAGGACACATTTGGTTCTTTACCCGACAAATGTAAGCCATCAATGATGTTACAACACACAACAACTTGTTCGACTAAGGCAAGATTAACCTTCCTCAAGTAAATGTATGAAAAACAGATTGTCTGGAGCCATATCATCCCACAACAAACCACTATCTGTGGAAGTGCCTTGGTCGGAGTGCTGCTGGTTGCCATGGTTACTGTAGTAGTAATAGTCATTTATTTCAGTCAGATACTGAATACATACAGAAGAAGCTCTGACGTTAAGGGTTTTGGCTGAAGTGAAACATTCTGTCGGAACACTTTAGCACCAGCTCGGTCTACATAGAACCAGGGCCAAGAGGGACTAAAGAAGGACCTGGTCTGGGTTAAACAGGGACAGTGGAAATGGGGCTAAATGCTTTTCTTAGTTTAAAAAGTTGCGTTACAGACACTTTGTAACGTCGACGGATCTGTGTCTTTTGAAGCAGCGGTTCTCAACCCGTGGGTCGTGTTCAACATTTGTAAAACATTTAAACACATAAAAGTAAAAAATAAAGATGTCTGTAATGTGGGTTTTTTACTGAAAAAAAAATTGCTGAAAATTATGTAAAAACAGACATTTGCCGAGATCAAAGACGTCTTTAATGCTCCGCCCCATTGTTCATGCGTTCATAACCACAACTAATGAGTGTCTATTGTTAAGAAGAAAATGTAAATAAAAAAGAAATAGGTCCTTTTAAAAATCGTGACATAAAAGATAAAAACTATTAATACTACTCAGAAATCGACCTTGTATCTGTTTAAACCCTGGATATTCATTTCAAACGTCGCAGTGGTTAGCGGTTGTGGGTTCGATTCCACTTCCACACCAGGCCTTTCTGTGTGGAGTTTGCATGTTCTCCCTGTGTCTGTTTAGATGTGTACATGTTTAACTGGGTCCTAACACTAAAGACACGGACATCGGATGCAAAATTTGAGATGTCCATTAATCCGCTCTGTTCAAATAAATAATAATAGAATAAATGAATGAAAGGTTGTTTTTCTGCGGGACTGAAGCGTTCTGTCGCGTGTCTGGTGCGAAGGAGGCTGTTGTGCGTAGAGTCAGAGTTTGTTGCTGTTTTCCAGACGCGGTCGAAGATGTTTCAGACGACTGGACTCACGACTGGAGCCCTGAGGTAACCCCCACCCCCACCCCTTCTGCCCTAACGCTCTGTCTGCAAACTCACTTTCATATGAGTTACATATATCGACAATCTTCAGTCAGATCAAAAGCAGAACACTCTTGTCCGACCATAGACTGTAAACAGATGGACAAAGCTAACCTGCTAGCTCACTTATGGAAAAGTAAACTAGGTAGTAATCATTTAAAAAAATAATAATAATAATAATGAATGGGTGACAGTAGCTCAGTTGGTAGGGCATTGGCCTTTGGGCCTGAAGGTTGTGGGTTCAAGTCCACCATGGGACCTACTACATCTGCTCCCACAAATGTCTACTCTCGTGTCCTTGGGCAAGACACTGAAGCCCCCGCTGAAAGAATAAGGCTGCATAAAGAAGGCATCTTCCCATGGACCCACCACCTGCAGAGGATCAGCGAGGGACTGGTGCTGTGAGACTTGGGTGCAGCTCTCCGACCCGACCCAGAAATGGACTAATAAAGGGGTTGAAAATGAATAATAATAATAATGCATGAGTTTTATACAGCACTTTTTTGGACGCTCAAAGTCTCTTCACATTATTACTCTTTCACTTTATACACAGTGGTGATAAAATACTACTGTAGCCACAGCTGCCCTGGGTCACACTGACAGAAGCGAGGCAACCAGTCTGTGCCATCGGCCCCTCCCACCACACACACACACACACACACACACACACACACACACACACACACACACACACACACACACACACACACACACACACACACACACACACACACACACACACACACAAATGTGGGGGAAGTGTCTTGCCTAAGGACATGATGCTAGTTTGGCACTTTACAGCCGCCGCACTGTAGCACCTGATATTCCCTGGTCTCCCATCACAGGACTAACCAGGTCCTACCCAGCTTAACTTATGAGCTCAGACAGGATCTGGCTTTTGCATGTAGGTGTGGCCACAGAGATCTTTGTGTTTTTATTGTGATAGTGTCTTTGTAAATCCAGACACAGCCTTATAAGGATCGACCAATCAAATCCCTTCATTCGTGGGGAAACTAGAGCTTACGTTAGCAATACAATACAATTTATTTATTCTTGTATAGCCCTAAATCACAACAGCATCATCTCAGAGACTGAACAAAACCATTGAAATCACCAACACAGGTCAGAGAATCAACAGTTAAAACACAGAAAGAATATAGAACACATGTGATAAATGTCATACATGTAGAATGTTAAAGTGTCCTGGATCATCACAGTCCTTCTAGTCTGACACTAACTGTCCAACAGACTCCTGCATCAGAGGAAAAACTCATAAGAAAACCCCAGTGGGAAAAAAGTGAGAAACCTCAGGGAGACCCATAGTTTGAGAGAGGGATCCGCTCCTCCGGACGGACGGGCTATAGATCCAGGAGTCAGACTGTAGAACGAGGACTGAGGCTATAGATCCAGGACCTAAGCTACAGAACGTGGACCAGTGGCCGCTGAACGTGGACAGGTGCAGGACTGAAGCACTCCCAGGCGGGTCGGGCGGGGCAGTCCGCAGGTGTAGATGGAGGAGGCCAGGCTCAGAGATCCCGTCATCGTACCATGAAACAGACAATGGGACAACGGGTGAATAGCAATGAACAAACTACAGTCAAAATCCTAATAATGCTAAACAGGTAAAGTAGGAAGGAGGAGAGGATAGTGCTCAAGTTACCATACTTCTCCAGCAGGGGGCTCCCTATGCAGCTTGACTGACAGTCTTGTATATTGACAGTCTTGTATATTGTAAATAGTAACTGTAACTCTATTTTAATTTTAAATTTATTCTTTAGAAGTGTTTTTTATTCTTATTTTTATTATCTCTTTTTGACTGTTGCACTGAGCCAAAGCAATTTCCTAGTCTGTGACCTCCTGTTACTTACGTGGCAATAAAAATGATTCTGATTCTGAGTCTGAGGCGGTGGTCCCTGAACTACGGCCCGCCTCTACATTGGCTCCGGCCCCTGATTGTTTTCACATACGGGCTTGTTCACACTAAAGGGCCAAAAATTAGATTTTAATAATCCAAAGATATTTTATGTTTTTCATGTTTCTTTTCTGTTCATTAGAAGTTGCTGGAACAAAACTGTTTTATACTTTAGACAAGTTTCCTGAAGCGGCCCTGATTATTTTATGAAACGTTGATGATTCGACGGAATGAGCTGCGGAAGTTTGTTACGTATTTTCAGATCCACATTTGATTCAGAGATTCTATTTTTTATTTTACACAGAGTAGAAACAAAGTGATTATTTAATATAATAAACCAATTAAATGTGAAAACAAGTTTAATTCTTAGAGAAAAATGAACGGACCCATCACGTCTGTTACACCTTTTTCAAGGGTCATTTATTTTAGTATTTTTTTTAACGAATCCTTTTTATATCCAGTGATTTCCTGATGTGTTCATGTAAATATTGTGGGATTTCATCTTCTGCTTTTTCAGACTGAGGACATTATATTTTCTATGTAACCGACGTCACAGTAGAACGGTCCAATCAGAGGCTGATTTTGTCGTTTAAAATGTCGCCAAAAATATATCTGTCAATCTTTCCTTTGATTTCCTCCACACTATCTCTTCAATGTGTCTGTTTGAAATCTTTTTTCTAATCTATGATAGTCATTTTAGTTTTTGAGTTTTAAAGTCCAGACACTTTACTGTGAACACACTCATGTGTGTATTTAATAAAGTTGGACTTTTGCAATAAAGTTCCTTTTTTCATTATTAACTATTATTAACTATTTCAATGCTGCAATCATCACACTTTTTCTGTTACAAACTGACCTGGCCCCCAATGAAGAAGGGAAAAGTTATGTGGCCCTCACAGGAAAAGGTTTGGGGACCCCTGGTCTACGGAGTTTAGCCTTCCCCGAGTCTTACCTTCTTCCTGACCATATGCTAAACTAAAGAGGACTGTTTTAGCCTGGCCTAGAACGTAGGGTTGAAGATGCAGCGGACCAGGTCCCACACGCAGACTCCAAGACCGGACGAAACCTGACCGGACAACATCCTAACCAAATGCTAAGAGTGTTTTAAGCCTGGCCTTAAACATAGAGACAGTGTCTGCTTCTTTAACGTGGGTGAAGCTGATTCCACAGTGAAGGAGCTTGGAGCTAAATGCTCTGCCACCAACAGTGCTTTTTGAAACCTTAGGGACCACCAGACGTCTGGTGTTTTGCGAGCGCAGCGCTCGGCTTGGTTGATAAGACATTAACATGTCTTGAAGATAGCAACACGTCTGTCTCTGTCACAGCTCAAGGCTAACACTGCGGAGACGCCCATTTAAGGAAATTGGCTCCAGCTAGCTTATGTTCCAATCGACTTCTCCCTCATCACGGCTAACTCTGTACTGACGTCTCTGTGTTGCAGATTTACCCCGAGGCCGACGACTTCCAGCTGATGGCGGAGAGCGGCGAGGGCAAAGTGAAGCACGTCTGCCCCGTCTGCGGGAAGAAGCTCGGGCGGAAGCAGGAGCTGAAGCGCCACATGCTGCTGCACACGGGCGAGAAGCCGTTCGCCTGCCCCGTCTGCGACAAGCGCTTCATCCAGAAGAGCAACCTCAAGTCCCACATCGTCACGCATCTGGACTCTGTAGACACCATCATCCGCAAACAGAGGCCCACGGACAGCAGCGAGAGCACTGCCAGACCGGGCCAGGCTGATCAGCCGAAGGGTCTGTCCAAGGCCGAACACCTGAAGGGTCTGCCCGAGGCTGAGGCTGAAGCTGAAGACGACTGGTGTCAGGTGGAATACTCCCTACTGTTTATTTGGTGTAGTAGTAGCAGCAGCAGCAGCAGCAGCAGTAGTAGCAGCAGTAAACTTAGTTTTCTCTTAGAGGAAAATTAGAGTTTGTTCATTACATGTTCTACTGTAAATTAAATTTGTTTTGTTATTTATTGTTATTGATTCTGGAAAAAAATGAGTTCCACTCCTATAAAGGCTGTACTGTGTTCTTCAGATGGAGGAACCTTGCAGCAGTTCAGCGCTGCAGCAGCAGCAGGAGGAGGAGGAGGAGCTGGTGGACGCGCAGTCCCTGCAGCGCATCAGCGCGTTATTGAAGCAGGCTCTGAACCAAAGCAAAGAGCGGAAGAGCAGTGAGTACCACTGCCCCATCTGCCACAAGGTGTTCGGCCGCATGGAGAACCTGCGCCGGCACCTCCTGGTCCACACCGGGGAGAAGCCTTTCAGCTGCTCTTTCTGCGACAAACAGTTCGCTCTGAAGCAGCACCTGAAGCTGCACATGGTGCTGCACACGCGCGACACACACTTCACCTGCGCCGTCTGCGGCAAGAGCTTCATCCGCAAAGACAACCTGCGCTCGCACATGCGCATCCACTCTGCCGAGAGACCTTTCGGCTGCTCCGACTGTGGCGCGCGCTTCTTCTCAGAGCCGGACCTGCTGCGGCACCGCGTCATGCACACCGCGGCCCGACCTTTCAGCTGCTCAGTCTGCAACAGCAGCTTCTTAAGCAGACGCCACTTGACGAGACACGTGAAAATCCACACCCGGGACGAGAAGGAGCTACAGGAGGAGCTACAGCAGGAGGAGCTACAGGAGGAGCTACAGGAGGAGGAGGAGACGCAGCAGGAGAAGCAGGAGGAGACATGACTATAACGAGACCACGACTGGCCAGAGAAGCAGGAGGAGACTGTTTCTTTGCCCTCTGTAAAAAAAAAAATGAACGTGGATTTTTCCCAGTGTTTTCTGCTGTAGCTCCTGATGACCAGGTACAGCGAGTGGTTAGCCGTGCTTCTAAAGGGGCGTTCAGACCGAAGTCAGTGGTGCATTGAGTTGACGTCCTCACGGTCTCTGCATCGATTTTTCATCAAAACATGACAATGAGCACGAATCTGGTGTGAACGCGCCTTAACATCACTCACACAGGTTTGAAGAGGATAGCAGTGCTTCTAACATCACTCACACTGGTTTGAAGAGGATAGCAGTGCTTCTAACATCACTCACACTGGTTTGAAGAGGATAGTAGTGCTTCTAACATCACTCACACTGGTTTGAAGAGGATAGCAGTGCTTCTAACATCACTCACACTGGTTTGAAGAGGATAGCAGTGCTTCTAAGTTCTGGAATAGGACAGGATTCTACTTGTTTTGTTGATTCTGCTCCAGTAAAATGTGTTTTGCTCAATTTCACTTTTTTACTTCAGCACAAAAAAAACACATGCACTTTTTTATTCCAGTGATTTTAGTTACTTCTACTCGAGTACTTTCCTCCTGTGTCTGAATGTAAAACTCACAGATGATGGTTTTGTGTAAAAATCATGTTGAAGAAAATAAACTTTTCTCTGGTTTATGGTCTCGTTGTCATGGTTGCAATATTCAGAGGGAGACGGACCAGAGGAAGACCAGGAGACGGACCAGAGGGAGAGATCAGAAGGAGACGGACCAGAGGGAGACCAGCGGGAGACCAGAGACCTGAGGGAGAGGTCGGCGAGAAAGGGAGACGGACCAGAGAGAGACCAGAGGGAGACGGGACCAAAGGGAGACCAGAGAGAGCCCTGAGGGGGAGGTCGGCGAGAAAGGGAGACGGACCAGAGAGAGACAGAGATCTTCAATGAGGGGCAAATGAAGGATTTCTTAATCTTAAACTTCTTATCATCAGACTGGACTTTTCTTTTCCAGGCGGTGATAAAGTCCAGACTCGCATCATCTGAAACTATTCTGCATGAACACAACAGAGCCAGAGAATCAGACTGAACAGCTGTAAGGTTGTCATTTCTGAGACCAGTGCAGAGTATTATCTCATTTCTGAGTTCACGAAGTCTAAAGAATCGTCATGAATCAGGAATAAACAGCAAGAAATGAGTAAAGTTTTTTTTTATGGAAAATTCAAGAAAAATCAAATAGTTGTTACAGAATTTTTTTTCCCATATTTCCTATGTTCAGTATTTCACACAAATAATAATTCCATAATTACAAATCAGCAAAACTTAACCCAGTTCTAAAGCAGCCCGAGACCAGGGCGTGTTGTTTGGACCCGTGACGTCCATGAGACCAGAGAGTGAGACCAGAGAGAGCAGGGAGTGAGAGCAGAGAGTGAGACCAGAGAGAGCAGGGAGTGAGAGCAGAGAGTGAGACCAGAGAGAGCAGGGAGTGAGAGCAGAGAGTGAGACCAGAGAGAGCAGGGAGTGAGACCAGAGAGTGAGACCAGAGAGAGCAGGGAGTGAGACCAGAGAGAGCAGGGAGTGAGACCAGAGAGAGCAGAGAGTGAGACCAGAGAGAGCAGGGAGTGAGACCAGAGAGAGCAGGGAGTGAGACCAGAGAGAGCAGGGAGAGAGACCAGAGGGAGCAAGGAGTGAGACCAGAGGGAACAAGGAGTGAGACCAGAGGGAGCAAGGAGTGAGACCAGAGAGAGCAGAGAGTGAGACCAGAGAGAGCAGGGAGTGAGACCAGAGGGAGCAAGGAGTGAGACCAGAGGGAACAAGGAGTGAGACCAGAGGGAGCAAGGAGTGAGACCAGAGAGAGCAGAGAGTGAGACCAGAGAGAGCAGGGAGTGAGACCAGAGAGAGCAGGGAGTGAGACCAGAGAGAGCAGGGAGTGAGACCAGAGAGAGCAGGGAGTGAGACCAGAGAGAGCAGGGAGTGAGACCAGAGGGAACAAGGAGTGAGACCAGAGGGAGCAAGGAGTGAGACCAGAGGGAGCAAGGAGTGAGACCAGGGGGAGCAAGGAGTGAGACCAGAGAGAGCAGGGAGAGCAGGGAGAGAGACCCTGGAGCTGCTCTGAGACGAGACTGAGCTCATGTTTGAATTCATCTGAGAAAGTTAAAATCCCCGCGTTCCAAAACATAAAAACCATTAAAATAGAACATTTCCTCAATACAATGTATTGTATTGAGGAAATATATCAATATAAGTACAATCCTAAAACAATTCACAAAAATGGCATCTTCTCCCTGGTTTTTCCATTTTCCAACATTAGGCCTCGATTGGGAAGAGACCGAGGAGGGGACAGAGAGGGACTGAGGAGGAGACAGAGAGAGACCAAGGGGACTAGGAAGAGAGCGAGGAGGGGAGAGAGTGCGAAGAGGGGACAGAGAGAGAGCGAGGAGGGGAACAGAGCGAGACCGAGGAGGGGCCTAGGTGTGGACCGCCATGTGTCTGCGGATGTCGCTCCTCTGCAGGAAGCGCAGCGGACACACAGGACAGCGGTACGGTTTGTCTCCCGTGTGTTTCCGCAGGTGTCGGTTCAGGTTCGACTTCTGAGTGAAGGTCTGTGAGCAGAAGGAGCATCTGAGGAGAGAGGACACAAGGATCAGCAGGAGTCTGAGTGTGAGTGTGTGTGAGCAAAAGGAGCATCTGAGGAGAGAGGACACAGGGATCAGCAGGAGCATCTGAGGAGAGAGGACACAGGGATCAGCAGGAGTCTGTGAGTGTGTGTGTCTCACCTGAACGGCCGGTCCCCTGTGTGTATACGTTTGTGCGTTGTCAGACAGTTCCTCTGTTTGAAAGTGGCGCTGCAGATGTCGCACTGGAACAATACGTTGCCGGTGTGTGTCGACATGTGTGTGCGCAGGTCGTCTTTACGCCTGTAACTCTTCAGACACACATCGCACCTGTGTACACAACACATGTTAACAAACACACACAACACACGTTAACAAACACACACATTAACAAATACAAACACACACACACCTTATTAACACACACACATTAATAACACACATAAAGCGACCACTGTGTGGCACTGACCTGAACGGTTTCTCGTTGGTGTGCACGGCGAGGTGCAGCCGCACGTTGTATTTCTGGGAGAAGCACTTCTTACAAACTGGACAGCTGTAAGGTTTGTTCCCGGTGTGAACGTTCATGTGGCGCTTCAGCCGCGTGCTCGTGGAGAAGCGGCGGCGGCAGATGGCGCAGATGTACGGCACGTTCTGGCCCTCGTCACCAGGAGACAGAGCACTGCAGCCCTCAGCCAGGTCTGGACCAGGAGTGGAACCAGGTGTGGAACCAGAGATTATTGGAAAAAACATAAAAAATTTTGACCAAATTATATAAAGAGTTTCCCTAGTCTCTAAAACATTGATCCAATATTGCGTCAGTTGTTGAGCGCTTACCTTCGGCGCTGGTCATCAGATCTGGGCTCTCGGCGCCCGTCAGCTCCGCGCTGGTCCCCACTGCGGCTGTGGCCTCACTGGTCTCCTCTGCGCTGGTGTCAGCACAGACCATGTGTGCGCTCAGGGCTTCATTGTTCTTGGCGTCACTGCGCGCCGCCTGCAGGAAAAGCACCTGAGCGCCGCTGCTGTAGGCCCTCGGCGGCTTCACGTCTGCGCAGGAGAAGGTCTGAGTGCCGGAGTCGGTCTGAGGACGACAGGGCAGAGGTGAAAGGCTCCACAGAAACACACTTTACTGAAAACCACAGAACGGACGATAGGAACCGACTGACCGAGTGTGACATCAACACTGTCCACAAACTAGAAGAGGACAGGTCTGAGAATGCGACGTTCAGATCAAGCTGCGGCGACTTTCAACGTAAAGTCAACATGCAGAACTGCATGTGCGCCGCAAGTCGACGCAGGAGATAAATATTGTTGCATTTTTTCACTGGCCACACGTGGAGCGAGTGTGTACTGCGCACCTCTGTGAACACATACTGCTGTTATATAAAGTCACCTCCGTGAACACATACTACTGTTATATAAAGTCACCTCCGTGAACACATACTACTGTTATATAAAGTCACCTCCGTGAACACATACTGCTGTTATATAAAGTCACCTCCGTGAACACATACTGCTGTTATATAAAGTCACCTCCGTGAACACATACTGCTGTTATATAAAGTCACCTCCGTGAACACATACTGCTGTTATATAAAGTCACCGTGAACACATACTGCTGTTATATAAAGTCACCTCCGTGAACACATACTGCTGTTATATAAAGTCACCTCCGTGAACACATACTGCTGTTATATAAAGTCACCTCCGTGAACACATACTGCTGTTATATAAAGTCACCATGAACACATACTGCTGTTATATAAAGTCACCTCTGTGAACACATACTACTGTTATATAAAGTCACCTCCGTGAACACATACTGCTGTTATATAAAGTCACCGTGAACACATACTGCTGTTATATAAAGTCACCGTGAACACATACTACTGTTATATAAAGTCACCTCTGTGAACACATACTACTGTTATATAAAGTCACCTCCGTGAACACATACTGCTGTTATATAAAGTCACCTCCGTGAACACATACTGCTGTTATATAAAGTCACCATGAACACATACTGCTGTTGTATAAAGTCACCTCCGTGAACACATACTGCTGTTATATAAAATCACCTCCGTGAACACATACTGCTGTTATATAAAGTCACCTCTGTGAACACATACTGCTGTTATATAAAGTCACCTCTGTGAACACATACTGTTATATAAAGTCACCTCTGTGAACACATACTGCTGTTATATAAAGTCACCTCTGTGAACACATACTGCTGTTATATAAAGTCACCTCCGTGAACACATACTGCTGTTATATAAAGTCACCTCCGTGAACACATACTGCTGTTATATAAAGTCACCTCCGTGAACACATACTGCTGTTATATAAAGTCACCGCCGTGAACACATACTACTGTTATATAAAGCAGTGTTTCCCACACATAGACTAATCTGTGGCGCACCGCCACAGATTAGAGACCGCCCGCCACAAATTGCGTTTCGTATTATTATATATATATTTTTTTTGTTACGCTATTTAAAACATGCATCGTCTAGTGCCGCCGCAGCGGTCAATTTGACAGCGGGGAGGGGGGTTTAAAATGTGGCGGCCCTTCGTAACTCTCACTCAAGCTACGCGTCTCTCCCACATACAGAGACCTACACACACACAGCCCCTCCCCTTCGTGCACACCGCGTGTCTCCGTCTCCATCAGCGATCATCGCTGTAAGCAGCTGTGTCTATTCATTTACCGCGGTAAAGTGGCCCGCATCTTTCAGCTCTATGAACATGCGGCCCGCATCGGGGAAAAGACGGTGCGCGTTTTGTTGAGAACTTACGGTAACAGCGGAACGTCCTTTCGGAGTCACCCATTTTTATCGAACAGAAAGCGCGCTGGGGTCAGGGAGACACGTTTTTGTGATTAAAACCTTATAGAGATGCCACCCGGCACACATAGCACCAGGCCCCTACAATTCCTCCTGCAGATTGTGAGTCCTCAGGAGGATAGCCACTCTATTGTTTACATGTATAAAGTACACAATTTGGTCCGCTAGTGCAATTTTCAAGTATTGTAACTATTTACTGGAATAAGGTGTGCGACTAATTTCACTTGACTCATGACCTTATTATTGCCCTCTACCACTGTACCAAAGACCAGAAACTTTTACTGTAGAAATATTGATTTAAAGCAGCCATTTTGGTCCAAAATAGCCTAAAAATTGTCAAAACATGTCACTTTTGATCTGCTGTAACTTATTACTGTAAAAAGGTGTGCGACTAATTTCACTGGATTCATGACCTCAAGATTGTCCTCTACCACTGTACCACTGTACCCCACTCCCCCCCCCCCCCCCCCGACGACCACCACACATTGCCTTCAAACCTGTGGGAAACACTGTAAAGTCACTGAACACATACTGCTGTTATATAAAGTCACCTCTGTGAACACATACTGCTGTTATATAAAGTCACCTCCGTGAACACATACTGCTGTTATATAAAGTCACCTCCGTGAACACATACTGCTGTTATATAAAGTCACCTCCGTGAACACATACTGCTGTTATATAAAGTCACCTCCGTGAACACATACTGCTGTTATATAAAGTCACCTCCGTGAACACATACTGCTGTTATATAAAGTCACTGTGAACACATACTGCTGTTATATAAAGTCACCTCCGTGAACACATACTGCTGTTATATAAAGTCACCGTGAACACATACTGCGTTCCAGTGTAGGCCTCTGAACACCGGAAGAAGACTGAGTAGTAGTAGTTTGGTCTGGACAGGTCTGGATAGGATTGGTTTGGTCTGGACAGGTCTGGATAGGATTGGTTTGGTCTGGACAGGTCTGGATAGGATTGGTTTGGTCTGGACAGGTCTGAATAGGATTGGTTTGGTCTGGACAGGTCTGAATGGATTGGTTTGGTCTGGACAGGTCTGAATAGGATTGGTTTGGTCTGGACAGGTCTGAATAGGATTGGTTTGGTCTGGACAGGTCTGAATAGGATTGGTTTGGTCTGGACAGGTCTGAATAGGATTGGTTTGGTCTGGACAGGTCTGAATAGGATTGGTTTGGTCTGGACAGGTCTGAATAGGATTGGTTTGGTCTGGACAGGTCTGAATAGGATTGGTTTGGTCTGGACAGGTCTGAACAGGTCTGAATAGGATTGGTTTGGTCTGGACAGGTCTGAATAGGATTGGTTTGGTCTGGACAGGTCTGGATAGGATTGGTTTGGTCTGGACAGGTCTGGATAGGATTGGTTTGGTCTGGACAGGTCTGAATAGGATTGGTTTGGTCTGGACAGGTCTGAATAGGATTGGTTTGGTCTGGACAGGTCTGAATAGGATTGGTTTGGTCTGGACAGGTCTGAATAGGATTGGTTTGGTCTGGACAGGTCTGAATAGGATTGGTTTGGTCTGGACAGGTCTGAATAGGATTGGTTTGGTCTGGACAGGTCTGAATAGGATTGGTTTGGTCTGGACAGGTCTGAATAGGATTGGTTTGGTCTGGACAGGTCTGAATAGGATTGGTTTGGTCTGGACAGGTCTGAATAGGATTGGTTTGGTCTGGACAGGTCTGAACAGGTCTGAATAGGATTGGTTTGGTCTGGACAGGTCTGAATAGGATTGGTTTGGTCTGGACAGGTCTGAATAGGATTGGTTTGGTCTGGACAGGTCTGAATAGGATTGGTTTGGTCTGGCCAGGTCTGAATAGGAGTGGTTTGGTCTGGCCAGGTCTGAATAGGAGTGGTTTGGTCTGGACAGGTCTGGATAGGATTGGTTTGGTCTGGACAGGTCTGAATAGGATTGGTTTGGTCTGGCCAGGTCTGAACAGGTCTGAATAGGATTGGTTTGGTCTGGTTTGGTCTGGTCCCCTGCTCACCTTCTCGTCCCTGTTGGACTGGAGTGGGGTGATCTGGATGGGGGTCACTCCGGCGCTGGGCCGTGGGGGTCTGGACCCTCGGGGCACCTTTGGGTGGTTCTGGATGTGCTTCTTCAGAATCGCTCGTCTCTTAAACAGTTTGTAGCAAAGCGGACAATGGAACGCCTCCAGCCCGTCCTCCGTCTGCGTCTTCTCGATGTCCATGTCGCTCAGAGTCAGCTCCTTCTGCACATTCAACACGTTTACAACTCTCTCCTTCAGGTGCAGTAAAAGGCTTAGAATGTTCTTTCAAATACTAAAGTGTAAAGAAACTAGTTATTTTGAACCTTTGTCAGAGACACGTGACGGTGATGTTTGTACAGTGTCTTGGGTGTTTTGAGAGGTTTAAATAAAATGTATAATTATCAGTATGAGTTTCTTTGCACTTTTGTGTTTTCTCTCTGTCGTGTGGACTTGCCTGATCATCTGACTCTGAGTATGAGTCTTCTTCGTGAAGTATCAGATGTTTTGCCAGCTGGAACTTGTGTACGAAGCTTTTCCCGCACTCTGAGCAGCTGAAAGGTTTGATCCCCGTGTGCAGCTTCAGGTGTCTCTTCAGGTTGGTCTTGTGTCCTTTGAGGATGATGCCGCACTCGGGACACTGGTGACTCATGGACTTTACCTTCAACCCAAAGCCACTGCCGTACTTCCTCCGCCTGCGTCGCCGTTGAGCGCTTTCTGCATTTGCGGTTTCTTCGGTCGCCTGGATTTAAGCCAATATTACATCAAGACGAGAGGATAAAAAAATTATTAAGATTTTTTAACAATAAAAAAAATACACAATGAGAAAATAACTTACATGATCCTCTGTGGTCTTCTCCGCCTCCATCTCCTCCTCGGCTTGGCGCTCCAGTGCTGAGCAGCTGAGGGGTTCCTCATCCCCACGGAGAGAGAGTGCATCACCCTCTATGCAGACCTCATCAATGCGCTGGGTCCCAGGCTGGGGCTGAATCAGGGTCTGGCCTTGAATCTCCGGCTGGATCAGGGTCTGGGCTTGAATCTCCGGCTGGGGCAGAGTCTGGGACTGGGGCGGAGCCTGGGACAGAGTCACAGACTGGGACTGGGGGGGAGCCTGGGACAGAGTCACAGACTGGGACTGGGGGGGAGCCTGGGACAGAGTCACAGACTGGGACTGGGGGGGAGCCTGGGACAGAGTCACAGACTGGGACTGGGGGGGAGCCTGGGACTGGGGCGGAGCCTGGGACAGAGTCACAGACTGGGAGGGAGCCTGGGACTGGGGCGGAGCCTGGGACAGAGTCACAGACTGGGAGGGAGCCTTGGACAGGGGCGGAGCCTTGGACAGGGGCGGAGCCTTGGACAGGGGCGAAGCCTTGGACAGGGGCGAAGCCTTGGACAGGGGCGGAGCCTTGGACAGGGGCGAAGCCTTGGACAGGGATGGAGCCTGGGACTGGGGCGGAGCCTGGGACAGAGTCACAGACTGGGAGGGAGCCTGGGACTGGGGCGGAGCCTGGGACAGGGGCGGAGCCTTGGACAGGGGCGAAGCCTTGGACAGGGGCGAAGCCTTGGACAGGGATGGAGCCTGGGACTGGGGCGGAGCCTGGGACAGAGTCACAGACTGGGACTGGGGCGGAGCCTGGGACAGAGTCACAGACTGGGACTGGGGCGGAGCCTGGGACAGAGTCACAGACTGGGACTGGGGCGGAGCCTGGGACAGAGTCACAGACTGGGACTGGGGCGGAGCCTGGGACAGAGTCACAGACTGGGACTGGGGCGGAGCCTGGGACAGAGTCACAGACTGGGACTGGGGCGGAGCCTGGGACAGAGTCACAGACTGGGACTGGGGCAGACTCACAGACTGGGACTGGGGCAGACTCACAGACTGGGACTGGGGCGGAGCCTGGGACAGAGTCACAGACTGGGACTGGGGCGGAGCCTGGGACAGAGTCACAGACTGGGACTGGGGCAGACTCACAGACTGGGACTGGGGCAGACTCACAGACTGGGACTGGGGCAGACTCACAGACTGGGACTGGGGCATACTCACAGACCGGGACTGGGGCAGACTCACAGACCGGGACTGGGGCAGACTCACAGACCGGGACTGGGGCAGTCTCACAAACTGGACCTGAGGCAGGGACTGTAGCGGAGCCTGGGGCAGACTCACAGACTGGACCTGAGGCAGGGACTGTAGCGGAGCCTGGGGCAGAGTCACGGACTGGGTTGGAGCCTGGGACTGGACCAGAGGCCGAGGCAGTGCCAGAGCCTGGGGCTGGGTCGGAGTTGAGGACTGGAACTGGAAAAGAAACTTAGGTTTGGTCTGGATTTGGGGCTGAGGTCCGGCCTTTTTGGACAGGGCCTGGGGATGGAACTGGAGCAGGATCTGAGGTTGGGCTTTGGGCTCATTGGACTGAGACAAGGTCTGAGGCTGGAGCTGGAACAGGATGTGAGGTACGGGTCTGCTTTCTTTGGTCTGGGTCTTGGACTGGGTCTTGGGCGGGTTGCAGAGGAGTTCTTTTGAGTATTTCCACTCCAGGTTCTGACAGACCAGGTTCGTCTGGACCCCTGCAATACGACACATGTTTATGAACCAGCAGAGGTCCCGGAACAAAACTCCAAATAAACAAAAATAAATACTGTGATAGATTTCAAATGCAGGATTATTTTTAATGGTACAACAGCGCCCCCCACATTAACTGGTTTACCGGGGCTGGGTCCCAGTAAAACATTTTGGCATCATGAGCAAAAGTAAATTAATAGTTATAGGATGAGTTCTGTTCACCTGTGACGTCATCTTTGCTCGTCATATCACAAAACTCAACCATTTTTGCTTTACAACCAAAGACTGTAAACATTAAATATTTACAACGCGTAACTTTAATTGCAACATTACATTAAATATTTGGATGGGGAGTCTTTCTGTCAGTATTTCAAAAGAAAATGGCAAAAAAGGATAATATGGAGGCAATATTTAATACAAAATAAGATCTCTATCCATTAGCTATAAAACATATGTGGATGTCTGAAATCTTGCCATTTCATCCAGGAGCAAGCTGGCAGAGTTACATAGCTTTACTACAATTGTTTGTATTTGGAATGAGTGGTAAATGAATGTATCTTTATGAATGTGTATGTTTTACCAACGTACTACATGTCTAAGAACTCCTGCTGATTTACTAACTTGCAGCTAAGTTTTGTTGCTTATATTAAGGTTAATAAGATGTCATGAATCTACCTCCAATCATAACCCAGTGAACCTAACCGTGGATCTATGACGCGAATCCAAATGACAACATTTTTACCAATCTTCGAACGAAATACCAAGATTTTAGTGCGTGCCTCACTTTGATAAGAGCGGGAGTAACAAACACACTCTCCCCCAAAAGACTGATACAAACACACACACAACACACACTTTACTAACTCCTGTGTGTGTGTAACCACCTGCTCTGAAACACAGTCCACACTCCCAACGCCCTGAAGTAGTATTTTGTTGTTTGCTAACAGGAGCTAGCATAGATGTTAGCAACATTTGCTAAAACGCAATCTAGGAATCTCTCAAATATATGCATTTCACTCAGGTGGAAGATAGTAATTGTTATAATTGTTGTGTTTGCCGTGAGGGTTCATGTCTATTCATAAATGCGTATTTGTGTTTACATTTATACATGTTTTAATTATTTCAGATGATTTTTGAAGCGCGGAGTGAACCCTTTTCTCTCTGAAACACGTGAGCGAACACACAACACACACATCTTAACCAAAGCCTTAACGCGTAAGTCACTTTTATGAAACGCGATCCATGCCGTAACTTGGCCATGTGATCATATTTTGTGGTTTTCAAACAGGAGCTAGCATAGCATCGCAGTTAGCTTCAGAGGAGCTCGTGCGCAGCGGCAGAACTGCGTCAGGGAAAGTGACGCACGGCTCGATCAGAGCGTTCGGAGACTTGTTTACGCTTTATCTCGGTTCTCTGCGGTCCCCACCTGCGTCCTTATGAGTCTCCTCACGGCTCCTGTTCACCTCCTCCTCATACTCCTCTATGGTCCTCTCCACCAGGGCGAAGATCTCCTCCGCGGCCGCAGACAGACGCTCGTTCACCGCAGACCGAAGCTTCTCCCGCACGGACGCCATGTTCCTTGTTTTGATTATTTGTTGTTTACATGGAAAAAGCTCTAGACATGACAAAAAAACCACGAGCCCTGAGCGCGTGTGATTCCCCGGAAGTGGCTGTAATGGGTCATTACAGCCACTTCCGGGCCGCAGCGCCTCGCAGTGGCTGCGGAGTGTCACTCCCGTATTCGTCCCGGAAACCGGATTCGTCCGGAAGTTCAGTTTGCGCATGTCAAAAAGTTTAATATGTCCTTAAGTGGTGACTGGTTAAGTTTAGGCGTCTGATTAAGATGGTTAAGTTTAGGGTTAAGGCTGGGTTGGGGTTATTTTATGGGAATGGCTGGTTAAGTTTAGGCATGAATAGGTGGTTTTTTATATTTACTTCCGCTTCCGTCCAGATTCCGTGACGTAATCTACTGCTGCGTATGCTAATTGGATCAAACTGAACTTCCGGACGAATCCGGTTTCCCGGAAACCGGACGAAATATAAAAAACTACCTATTCATGCCTAAACTTAACCAGCCATTCCCATAAAATAACCCCAACCCAGCCTTAACCCTAACCTTAACCATCTTAATCAGACGCCTAAACTTAACCAGTCACCATTTAAGGACGTATTACACTTTTTGACATGCGCAAACTGAACTTCCGGACGAATCCGGTTTCCGGGACGAATACGGGAGTGACAGAGTGACACGGAGTGTCATTGACTTCTTCTTCTTCTTCTTCTTTTTGGGTTTTTTACTGCGGTTGGCGACCAATTTTAGCGCATTACTGCCACCTTCTGTTCCGTAGGATGGGTCAGTAGGCTCACACTCTAACCCCACAGTCCACCAAGGGAAAGGTAAAAAAAACATACATATATATATTTATAACTATACAAATATACACTGCTCACAAAAACGTAGGGCACACTCACAAAACACATCCTAGATGTCAATTAATTCGAATTTTTGGATGAGAATCTTTATTCATAGTTTGTTGAGAACAAAATAACACAAGAATAATAAATGGAAATCAAATTCTCAGCTCCTTGAGGTCTGGATCCAAAATTATAGTCAAAATCAAAGTGACAAATGAGGTAACTGGTTGATCCAAATTCTATAGAAATTCCTCAAAATGAGTCTTTATCATCCTCAGTAGTATGTGTGGCCTCCACGTGCCTGAATGCACTCCCTACAACGCCTGGGTCCTCCTGAGAGATCTCCTCCCAGATCTGGAGTAGAGCATCAGTCTGCTCCTGGACAGTCTGTGGTGCGACGTGGCGTTGATGGATAGACCGAGACATGATGTCCCTGATGTGCTCTATTGGATTTAAGTCTGGGCGAGGCCAGGCCAGGCCAGGCCAGTCCAAAACATCAATACCTTCATCATGCAGGAACTGCTGACCCACTCTTAGTCTTGTCACACGTGGCCTGGCATTATCATGCATCAGAAGGAACCCAGGGTCCACAGCACCAGCGTATGGTCTTACAATAGGTCTGAGGATCTCATCCCGGTACCCAAGGCCAGTCAGGGAACCTCTGGCTAGCCCATGGAGCGCTGTGCGGCCCTCCAATGAAATGCTTCCCCAGACCATCACTGACCCACCACCAAACCGGTCATGCTGGATGATGTTGCAGGCAGCAGAACGTTCTCCAGGGCGTCTCCAGACTCTGCCACGCCTGTCACATGTGCTCAGGGTGAACCTGCTCTCATCCGTGAGTCTGCCAATCTGCCAATTGCTGTGTTCTTGGGCAAATGCCCATCCGGCTGCACAGTGTTGGGCAGTAAGCACCGGCCCAACTTGTGGACATCAGGCCCTCATACCACCCTCATTGAGTCGGTTTCTGACCGTTTGAGTACCAACATGCACATTTGTGGCCCTCTGGAGGTCATTTTGTAGGGCTCGGGCAGTGCTTCTGCTGTTTCTTTGTGTACAAATGAGCAGATAGCGGTCCTGCTGCTGGGTTGCTGACCTCGGTTGGCCCCCCCAGGTCTCCTGGTGTACTGGCCTGTCTCCTGGTATCTCCTCCAGGCTCTGGACACTGCGCTGGGAGACACAGCAAACCTTCTTGCCACAGCACGAATGGACGTGCCATTTTGGATGAGCATCACTTCCTGAGCAACTTCTGTGGGTTGTAGATGCCTCCTCATGATCCCTCTAGTGGTGAGAACACTGGACAAATGCAAAAGTGTTCAAAAAATACGGTACAAAGGATGAAGACAGGGAAATGGTAATGACAAAACCATTCCTTATTTGGAGTGATCTTGCTGATTTCCTCTCAATTCCACCTGTTGTCTGTTTAATTTCCACAACTGCAGGTGAAATTTATTCACAATAAGCGTGGCTTCCTAACTGGACAGTCTGATATCCCAGAAATTTGACTGACTGTCATAGGCTTTTTCAATGTCAAAAAACACTGCCAGCACTGACTCCTTACAAGCTTGGGCTTTCCTTATCTCATTCAAGCCTAATAATAGAGTCACACGAATTTCTTGCCAACCTAAAGCCACTCTGACAACCAGCTAAACCTCAACATTTCTCAAGGTCAAAAGACAACCTTTCCACAATCTTTCTCTCCATAATTTTACATCGTATAACATACCTGATCCTTACCTGGAGATGTTTGTTTTGCCCTTCTAACTGCCCTGTCCATCTCCTCCAAGGTGAACAGGGAATCCTGATCTTGATTTACAGCCTCCTTAGCTGTAAATCAAGCTAATTACTGGTTCTGATCTCTAGTTTGATCTCTCCTGTTTTTAGCCACTTCTGATAAGTTATCTGAGCTATGCACTTTTGCAAAACTTTGGGCCATGACCTCTGCCTTATCCCTGTCCGATATCGCTGTGCCATTCTGAGTCACTAATACTGGGTAATCCCACTCACGCCTGTCTCCACCCATCCTTCTCACCATTCCCCAGACTTCACCCACGGCGTTGTTCTTCCCACTTTTGAGCAAAACTCCCTCCAACTGCTCTTCTATTTGTCCTCCGAACAATTGCCTGCATTCACAACATCAAACCTTGTACCAGACCCGTCATTCAAACACACAAGATTCTGCTCATCCATCAAGTCTTCTATAACACTTCCATTGGCGTCTTTATGCCGACCCCCCCCCCATACTCCACTGTGAGCCCACCCAAACAACTCTCCTACGGTCTTGTCCCTGAATACCCAGGAGGCTCTGTAGCTCCAACCTGGAACATGGATTTTAGAAGTTGATGACCACTGTTGGTTTTTCCTTCTCCCATACTTCCACTACAATGCACTCCAGATTACCCCCTACCCCCAGTAACCTGTAGGGGATACCGCTTCTCACAAAGGTTGCACACCCCCTCCATCTCCATGATCTCGGTCATTTCTAATCACAGCATATCCATATATTATAAAGTCTAAAGAAGGCTTAAGCCACGTCTCCTGCACACATGTATTAAGTCCTTTAATGAAATACTTGAACTCCATTGGCCAGTAAATTCCTTGCATTCCATTGGAGAATAAGCACCATTAGGAATACAAATAACATTATACCACTTGTCCTGACTGAAGCCTGAGGTGATCACTCACCTTTTCCCATGTCAGTCCTGCCACTTCTAGCAGCTTTACTGCTGCCTCAACAATCAATTTGATCCTTTCATCTCTAGTTTTGACCCCAACAGTGCAGTTTATTACTTCAGCAATAAAGGAAACTAAAGCAATAGGCTGCACACTTAGATTATTTTTGCTCTGCCCAGTTACTGCCTCCGGCTCTTCTGTTCCCCGCCCCCTCGTCACAAGACGTGATGTCCTCACAGCCTCTGCATAAGAGATCCCCTTTTCTACTCTCATCCTTTGAATCTGACTCTTTTTTCATAAACTCACATCCAGCATAAGCCACGCTATGTGCCCCACCACAGTTGCAGCACTTGGGCTGTACCCCGTCCCCACACTTCTCGTATTCATGGCCCCCTCCACATCGAGCACACCTTCTCTTATCCTTACAGTTATTTGCTGTGTGGCCAAAACGCTGCCAATTAAAGCACCTGAGAGGCTTTGGTATGAACGCTCTGACTGAGTAACTCAAATACCCAACAAACACTTTCTGTGGCAAAGACGCTTCCTCAAACTCAATAAGTATCGTTTCACTGTCCACTTTTACTCCGATCCTTGTTGCTTTCATCCTAGTCACACTTCTAACTACCCCCCCTTTAATATGTCTCTTCAACTCCTCCATCTTTACATTAGCAGGTATTCCGGTGATTACTCCTCTGCTCCCGCCGAGTCGAACACCCACCTGACTCGCACTGCTAACTTTGAACCTTCCCACCTCCCTCAAACACAATGCTTTCTTCAATTACTCCTCATTGGTACAATGAATTAATAACTTTCCATCGTTCAGCACTTTAGCTTGTTCCCAATATCCGTCTGAAGAAGATGACATAGTCTGGGATCGCGTCTTTCATTCAGACAGAAGACATGTTTTATTGTCGATGGTAGAGACAGCACGAACAAAGCACACGATCACAGATACAACAGAATGCAAGTGTATTATACAGAGCGGAGGCATGGAGACCTCCAATCAGCAGCTGCCACAGTGCCATGTAGCTTGGCCTTCAGATAGACAAAACAAGGGAAAAGTACTGGCTTCTGCACATTGATAGAATGATGAGTTTAACTTTAACAAAGGTTGCTTAAAAGTGTTATGAAATCTCACACGTCGTAAGACTAAATGGACTTGCTTTTCTCACAATGACTTTAGTTTTCTCATTAAACCTCAGCACAACAATCATCTTACTTGGTCTCTCAATAACTGAATGAACACTGCTGTCACTACCACTCTCGTTCAGAAGCCGCTTACTACGCTTGTTCACTCTCTTCTGTGCTGACTGTAATTCAGCGTCAGATTCACTCTCCTCAGCCTCCATACTATCGCCCCAACTCCCTACCTCTGACCCATCCACGGAAAAAACAAGTTCTGGGATTAAGTTAGGTGGTTGTAGATCAATAAGATTCAAATCTCCCGCATTTCTCCTCGTCGACGCTCTGCCTCCGCCTGCTGACA